CACGCGCGCGCGGTTGGATTCCCATGCGGAGCATGCGGAGGCCGGCCTCCTCCCTGGCGCCCTCCTCCCTCGCCAGCTTCCTTGCCCGCTCCCCCTCCCCGCGCTCTCCCTCTCTCGCTCGCTCCCTCCCTCCCTCCCGCCCGCGCCTCCCTCGGCCCTCTTGGCCCCGCCGTGCCCCGAGGTGCGGCGCCGGCGAGCACTTCCGCCTGCGAGCGGCAGGACAACAGTTCGCGGCGGCGTTCAGGGGCACCATCCCGCCGCCGACGCCCGCGCTCCCAGGTGAAGGAGGAGGAGAAGCGAGGAGGAGGGGGAGCGAGGAGGAGGAGCGAGGAGGAGGAGCGAGGAGGGATTCCCTTACTCCTTCCCGTCCCCCTTCTCCGTCCCCGCCCACCGTCCCTTGTCTCACTCGCCTCTCCCTCCCTCCCCTCTTCCGCCTTCTCCTCCTCGTCCGCCCCCTCCCGTTTGCTTTGCGCCCCTTCTTTTGCACCTCGGCCTTCTCCTCCTCTTCTCTGCAGCCGCCCACACCCCGCCCTGACCTCACTCACGCGCTCCTGTTCTGGAGGCGGCCGGGTACCTCCGGACGGCATTCGCATCCCCTCCGCATTCATCCCTGTTCCTTGTAGACAGCTCCTCCCTGTCGCTCCCCCAGGCGTGTCAGCAGGGCGTGCCAGGCGCTTCGCCCGAGACCTCCTCGCTCCTCATGATCCTGGAGCTACGGAGCCGGCGCAATTTCTGAATGGAACCCCCACCCAAAAGCGTACGTCTTGAGCAGTACGGTCCGCTTCAGGGATGGAGGGGGGCCATTTCCAAAACGGGGTAATCGCCTTCGCGCCGCGCGCACTCGTCTTAAGAGACTGCAGCAATTTGACCTATGAAGGCAAGGTGGTTTTCAGAGTGGAGCTCTCGCCTTCACGCCGCCTACATTCGACTTCATGGGCGGCTCCTTTTCCGAGTGGGGCTCTAGCCTTAGCGCGCAGTTGTCTTGCACGTTTGCTGCACTCACAAGGGGGAGGGACGGTTACTCTTCGGAATGGGGCTCTCGCTTCCGGGCTTCCCTGCACTTTGAGACACGGCAGCTCTTTTTCGGAGTGGGGCTCTCGCTTGAACCCCCTTCGAAGTGCATGACCAGAAGTGTGAGGCTCGTGTGGGGCGGATGGGGGTGGTTCTGTTGTAGAGCGGGCATCTCGCTGCACACCTCGCTAAACTGCCTGGCTGTTGCCGCACTTCTTCTTCTTCTTCTTCTTCTTCTTCTTCTCGTCCTCGCTCTTCCTCCTCCTCCTCCTCCTCCTCATCTTCATGCCATTGCTTCTGCTCAAGGCTGCTTCTGTTCCACCTTTTTCTCCGAGCCCTCCTCGTCTTCCAGACTCTCCTCCCTCTCCTCCACCTTCCCCTCCTCCTCCTCAATCCCCTCCTCCCACCGACTCGTCTTACTCGCAATCCTTCCTCCTCCTGATGCAGCTCCTGATCCTCTTCCTCCTCCCTTTTCTCCCTCCTCCTCCTGGAGATTTGTTTGTTATCACTTCGGGTAGCGGTCGTTACCCGGGGGGGGGGTTGGGGAGGCGGGTAACGGTTACGCTTGGGCAAGGTGGGGCACGCCAGGGCAGGGGTGCGCTACGATCACCATATTATTCGCGCGGGCACCAACGTGTGAAGGTGGGTCCAAGTCCCCCCCCCGCCCCTACGTGCGATCGTTACCGTTACCTGGAAAAGGGGGGGTCCGCGTAACGACCGCTACGCGCCAAATGATCCTGGCGAAGGACCCAACCATGTGCAATTATGAGTACCGTCGTTGCGGGTATCGCCTTCGGGGGATCTCCTCATGGGGCCATGAAGCATGCGACGGGTGTGCCGATGTGGGGCGGGGCTGCCATGTGGGCGCTGCCACTGGTGCTATAGGCGGAGTGCACTACGGGGCCGCAAAGTGTGAGGGGTGCGCCGCAGTGGGGCGGGGCCGCCAGTGGAGCCTTCGGTGGAGCTCCCTATGGGGCAACGAAGCAGTGTAATGGGTGGGGGAAACGCATGCGAGTACAACCATCGGGGCCTTCGGTGCAGCTCCCCGTGAAACAACGAAGCGCCGTGCTGGGTGTGGAGAATGCATGCAAACACCGCCACTGGGGCCTCTGGTGGAGCTCCCGATGGGGCCACGACGAGCTGTACTGGGTGGGAGAACCGCACGTGAGTGCATGCACTGGCGCCTTCGGTGGAGCTCCCTATGGAGCCACGAAGTTCTGTACTGGATGGGGGTGGGGCCTTCGGTGGAGCTCCTTATGGGGCCACGAAGCGCTGTACTGGGTGGGGGGTGACGCATGCGGGTGGTATCACTGGGGGCCTTCGATGGAGCTCCCCATGGGGCCACGACACGCTGTACTGCTGTACTGGGTGAGAGGTGACCCATGCGGGCGGTGCCACAGGGGCCTCAGGTGGAGCTCCCCATGGGGCCACGAAGCGCTGTACTGGGTGGGGGGTGGTGCATGCGGGCGGTGCCACTGGGGCCTTCTTC